TCTCCTGCGGCCGCCTTTCGTTTCCCCCCTTCCCCCCCGTGGAACGGGACATCCTTCCTTTTCCTGCCATTGAGATACAATTATATAGGCATAACGATATATGTTTCCCCCCTCCCCCCCCCTTGTGGAACGGGACATCCTTCCTGGTCCTTCTCCTGCGGTCATGGGTTTTCCCCCCTTCCCCGCCTGTGGAACGGGACGTCCTTCCTTCTCCTGCGGCCCTGGTTCACATTACACACAATTATATAGGCCCCCCTGTGGAACGGGACATCCTTCCTTCTCCTGAGGCCCTGGTTCAATTCATATATAATAAATAACGATTTCTGTTGCCCCCCTCCCCCCCTGTGGAACGGGACATCCTTCCTTCTCCTGCGGCCCTGGGTCTGTGGTTCTTCTGCATCCATTCTCAAGCCTGAAACCCTTGCACAACTAATCAAGCGAATTTTTGCTTAGAGCCGCTCCGAGCACAAATAATAGTACTAACGATTGCCTATGACGGTCTTAAAGTAGTATTAATCACTCGAGTTTGAATATGTATTTATGTATATGTGTGTATATATATGTACCGCATATGTATATATATATATACACACACACACATGCACATACACATGCGCACACACACACATACATACGTACGTACGTACATACATACATACATACATACATACGTACGTACATAGATGTATACATACCTACATACATATATATATACATACATACATACTTACATACATACATACATGCATACATACATACATACATAATTACATACATACATACATACATACATACACTAAAACACATACATATTCATACACACACATACACATACATACACATACATAAATGCATACATACACATACATACGTACATGCATACATACATACATACATACATACATACATACATACATACACACACTATGTATGATACAAAGACACTCACATACATACATATACATGCATATACATACATATACATACATATACATACACATACATACACATACATACACATACATACACATACAAAAATAAACACATACATACATACATACATACATACATGCCAGCATGCATGCATATATACATATACATATACATATACATATACATATACATATACATATACATATACATATACGTATATTGTATGTATTTATATATACACATACATATATATATATACATACACACATACATACCCTTCGTGCACAAACACACTTATTCTCGAAATGCACGAGTTTATTGAAATAGATTTCAACCACAAAGCAGACTAAATAAAGATGTATGAACGAAGAAGCACGTATCTGCATCGATCTATCTGTTTTTATTCGTCTGGCCGCCTGTCTGTCTGTCTGCCTGTCTGTCTGTCTATCTGACTATCTATCTCTCTATTTATCAGACATGGCACTGTCCAGCCAGGTGGCAGCGATGGACGGCCCTTACATGCAGCTGTCAGGCGGGTACGCAGCTGTGACAGGCCCGGGAGCAAGCCACTCCGAGGCGCTGAGCTATTGTCATGGTTTCGATCCGTGAGGCTACAGCTACGCCGTGAAACCCTGCACTGAGGGGAGCTGTGAAAATCAGGATCCGATGCTTGCTGCGGCATAAGGGCACACTTGAATTCTCCCAGGCACCTGATTTAGACCAAACCTTTCTTGCTCAACACCGTTCCGCCATGTCGTTAGCTGAAGCTTTGACGACGAAGATGGGCAGGATTTAAAGGATACCTAACTTTGAGTACAGCATTTCCCATTTCCGGCCCAAGCCTCCGCCTGCAAGCCCCGACAAACATGTTGAACTTCTCTTCAAGTCATCCGGTTTCAGCCTCTGCGGCATAATTCAGGATTGGAAAAGGGATTCGAACGGGTCAGATAGTTTTCTCAGATCTGACGATCTGATTGCATCATGTGTTTCGGGAAGGGTTGTCAAGCCGCACCATGCATAACGCATACACAGAGACGAAACCTGGTTCTGATGTTTTGCAGTTTGTTCGTCTCGCTTTTCCCCTGAAACAACGGATGTCGGGGCGGCTCTAGTAAAGCATGCCGGAGGACCTGAAGGGTTTGGCAGCTGCTTTGGAGAAATCGCCCATCTCCGTGTGCGCGGCACACTTACCGATGCAAGCCGGCAGTGGTGGAGAATGCTTGGCACGTGGCTTGGAGGGGCTGACAGTGAGGTCAACGCAGGCGTCTGGAACGATTACACCGGTGGTGTGTTGTCGGCGGCAGCATGTGGCCCGATGGGCGCGGCGTATCAGGCCGGTAGCCGGCAGAGAATTTTGGCATGGCGCCGAAGACATCGCACAACCGTCGTGCCAGGACCACTGTGTGATGGCCGTGGGCTTCAATGCCACGGCGCCGAAGCCGTATTGGATCGTTCGCAACTCATGGTAGCTTGGTCGCAGGTACCAGAACTGTTGTCTGTCCGTTTCTGTTAGGGATTGCAGCCGAGGGCATCGACATGGGGAATGCAGGGCTACATCTACCTGGAGATGGTGGCGGCCCGAGGAAAAGAGCTCAGTTTGTCAATGCTTATTTGCTGGGCCGGGTTTCCTAGGCCAAGAACACTTGCGGTGTCGCCGACGATGCAACGATCCCCGAGGCCCTTTCTTCAAACAACGTTGAGGCCTCTCACGGAGACCCTTGCGCAGGTCAAGGTGGACCTTTCGGAGGAGGAGGCGAAGGATGCTGCAGCCCGGCGGGCCGCCATGCAGGGGGGCCCAGACAAAAGCGGACAAGGGAGAGCACTCGCCAGTACGCTGTTCGCGGTTTGCTAGGTTCCGACGTGCCAGCACCGGGTCGGCCACGCCGGCCACGCCAGTGCCTTTGGTCGTGTGAAAGGACCAGAAGTGTCTAAAGTTTTGACGGGCTCCCGGGGCCCGGGAGGCGCTTGGCCTCGTTCCATTGCTCTCTTTAAAGATTGCTCCCGCGTTTTGCGTCGGAGTGTCTTGAGCACCGCCAAGTGTTTAGAGAGGCTAAAGAGATGAAGCTCGGCTTATTGGAGACAAATCTGGCTAGACATGCTCGAGGGGTGGCGGCTTAGAGACATGAAGAAGCCGCTGGCCCCTTCGCAGATTGCCATCATGCGACTTCTCCGGCACGAGAACATGGTCAGGCAAGTTGCCTTCACTCTGTCACTCCCAACAGCCATCAGTTATGGCTCTAGTGACAGGTGCTATGACGTGTTCATCGAGGCCGGCCAGTTGGGGGCAGTGCAATGAGCGATAGATGTCAGAACGTCCGGACCCTCGAATCAATGCCAAGGGCAGGACACCGTGTATTGGCCTTGGCTGACTTAAGAGTCGTGCTTTTCAGCGTTCGGGCCAAGCAGTGTGATAGAAGGGATCCCAAACCCTCTTCTCCGGAGAGGCCCAGTATGTGAACGTGGTCGTCGACATGTTCCCCGGAGGCGACCTGGTCGACGGACTCAACACCCACAGACGGGCGAGGGCCTCGACCCGGGTCTGAGAGGGTCTCCGTCTTGTCTCCAGCCTTCACAGGCCTTCGGGCGAGTGCCGAATGCGCAGCTCGCACGTCTTGCGAAGCAGATGATGTCGGCGGTCGCTCATGCCGGCTGCCTACCGTAGCTGCTCAAAACTGCGAAAAGTAACTTAACGTCTCTTGACTTGCATCATCTGGCGGCGAGGTGCACGGCCTGTCAATCATACATCGGGACGTCAAGGTGCCGTGCGAGATGTATTTTTCAGAGAGTGGTCAGAACTAAAAAGAAGCCTATCCAGAGCGATATTTTCAGGGCGAAAATTTCCTTTCCGATCGTCCGGACATTGGTGATCCCGATGTCAAGGCCTCCCGTGCACTGCAAAACAGTCTGTCGTGCTTTCGAAAGGGAAGCTCTCTTTCCTTTGTGCTGCCTTGGTGCTGCCTGCTGGCTGTTTCGGCTCAGCTCTGCTTGGGCCTTCTCTTCCCCCGTCCCCACGAATGCGAAAAGCCGCCGGAACGCAATCAGACCAGCATCCTCTCGAAAGCGGAAATGGAGTCCCCAGGTGCTTATCCTCCTCATTCCTTTTGTGGGTTTCACCCAGGACGGGGGATTTGGCATTTCCAGCTCCGCACACAATCGCCGCGATTCATGGAGCATTACCTGGTGTTTCCCACTCTTGGGATCCCGGCAGTTGCTGGGTGAAGGAGGGTCCTCCCAGCCTTGCCAGCGCTTGCCAGGAGCTACCCCTTCACTCGGATGACGAGTGCGCGGAGGACCGCACCGACTGTGCGTTAACAGCGCTGCAGCACCGAGGCCTTGTGTGGGCGGTTGATTCCGCATGTCACTCGCGGCTGAGTTCGGCTGGCAGGTGCTCTGACCAAGCAGAAAGTGGGCTGCCACACGACGGTGCAAGGGGAAAGATGCTTCCGCGAGGTGGGAGAGAACTGCGCGCGAGGGCGCCGCGGCACGGCCGCTCACGTGCTCCGAGAGAGGTGACCTGGGCCCGAGAGGTGGGCATCCGCCGGGATCCCAAGAGAGAGGAGAGTGAAGAGGGAAAGCTTTTGAGTTGAGTCGGAGCGGAGCGGAGCCGCCCTGGGCCGAGGCAAGCACCCGGATTGGTATCCGGATCTGACGAGGGACTCTTCCGTGCCATGGCTGCCTTGGCGAGGAGGACGAAGGTCTTCTGCTACGGAGCGATGCTGCGCTTCCTGAGGTGGTGGACTTCCAGCTCTTGATTCACGATAGAATGCCAGGCAGAGTGTCGGCTGATGCCCTTGCCGGTGTTTCCAGTCTCGCCTGACAAGGCAAATGCCCGATACCCTGTGGTGTACCGCATGGAACCGAGAGTAACTGCTCGAGCTTCCGATCTGACGAACTCTCCTAGCGGCCCTAGCGGTCCTAGCGCTTAGCTGCAGCTCGAGGCTGCGCCCGAAGTGGTGTGAGTGGCCTCCGGCGGGAAGCCTCGTGGCCCCGGCTGAGGAAGGCGGAAGCCTCACCATCAAGGCTCGCGCTGACTTCCGGATCTCCCATCTACCCGTTGTTTCACCTTCCGAAGGTGTTGAGCTACAATCTGTTTTGGTGGAACCTCTATGGAGTCCGCCGCGGTGGCTTGGACTCGAGTGCAGGGGTTCGGGGCACCAGCGAGTGGCAGTGTCAAGCAGCCGGAGGTAATGGGGACAGTGCCGGCCACCTCATCAGAGCTGAGACCGTGGAGGACAGAGTGCTGACTTTGCCGTGTCTGTGGGATGTTTTAGGTAACAGGGACTCCAGTGACTCCGGAGAGTTTGCAGGTTTCAGGCTTAGGACGTGCTTAAATCTCGGGTTTTGGCTTCTCAATTCTAGGAAAAGGGTGGGTTGGGGGGGCTAATAACGTCCTTGTTGACACCGTCCTCCAAAACTCCGAAACACAAAATATGTTGTCATAGTATGTAACGCATTGCTCTATACTCTCCAAAACTGTCATATACTCTAATAATGAATAGGACAGCCCCTCAACCCTAAACCTATGCCGACGCCCTAGCTAAACCCTAAACCCTACACCCTAAACCTGCGTTGAACTGCGCCGACGATATGCCACATCCCGTCGCAGCATGCCGAGTTCATGAACTTTCACTTGCTATGCTGGCATGCATGTCGAGACAATTGCCGGCATGCTTCTCAGGATCAAACCCAGAAGCGGCAAATCTTGGGGTGCTACCGTTTTTGAACCGGTGCAGATGCAAGAACTGTGATTTCGCATACTCTAACATGATACCATTTTGCCTCAAGTTGCCTCGATTCGTCCAGATCAAGAACAGCTCTTTCTCTTGGATGTGTGTGAAAGCAGGCACTGCCGTTGTTCTGAGTGGTGGTGGTGCTGCAGCTGATGTTGCTCTTGTTGTGCTCCGTATCGTTATCACTGCTACAGCTAACTTTATCGTCATCGCTGTCGCTATCGGTCCCGTCATCACTATAGTCGCTGTCGTTATGTTTACAGATCGAGCTATTACCTCGGCCATTATTTTCTATTTTGACCGGCGGCTGGAGCTAACACAAGGATTCAGGGATGTCGTAGGGGTGAAAGGCAATATGCTGATGAGTCTTGCTTTAATGCGATTTTCGAGTATAGGGCTCTTGATCCTAATACTTCTGGGTATTTGGGGTTGAAGTCATGTCGGACACATACTATACAAGGATATCTTCCGGAGCAGGGCCTCGTTGCAGAATACTAATGTCGATGTTTTTGTCTTGGATGGGTTTCTGCAATACTCCACTTCCCGTCCAAGCTAATAGCTAATAACTGTGAAGTCGTCATCCACTCAAATATCTCCCCGAACGCTTGCTTCAGAATGTCCTCAAAACCACTGTGAAACGCACAAAATGCCCCATTCCAAGTGACCCCTCTCGAGGATCGAGCTCTTCCTTGTAACTCGTCCCCCGAGCAAATGTGCTGACACCACAGTTTCGCGCACTTTTGAGCCTGCACAACGCAACACTGACGTGCAAACCGCCCGGAGTCACTGGAGTCCCTGTTGCCATGTTTTGGATGGACATGAATTAATGCATTTGCTATGGGGCGGTCCGCAAGTGAAGACTCGAATAAATTACCCATGTTGGCGCTAGGAAAACCGCTGGGCAGGCGCTTGGCATGTTTAGAACCGCATGCTCAAGCTGAAGCTTTGTGCAGCTTCGCTTCGTCATCCCAGCCCTGTTGCGTACTTTTAATGCTACTTTTTCGCAGGTGGAGTGAGATCGGCGCTCGGGTTGCAAAAGCCACGTGCTTCCAAGATCCACGTTCGGTACATGGATTGGTGTGGGTTGTGGCTGGCAGCCAGGTGCTTCCAAGCATGCTCGGTAAGTGGGTTTGTGAGGTTTGCGGCAGATACATTCTTCCGAGATCGACGCTCGATACGCGACTGTGCACGTTTTCTTGCAGCTTTGCCTCTTTATCCGATCGAGCCTCCAGCCAGGTCATATTTGGGCATTTGTAAGACAGCACAGCGCGCTGGATCCGCGCTAGTTCGGCAGATCCCGGAGCAGCATTGTAGTACAGGATCCGTGCCAAGTGCAGCATTCGAAGCCATGCTAAGAAGGCGCCGGATTGGAAAGCAAAATTCGACTATGTCTCGCTATGACTTTTTAGTCGACAAGACGCCTGATAATCCGAACGCGGGCGTGCGCTTCTTTGAGAAGCGATTACCGCAAGAAGCTTGCGGGGGCTCAGCCCGCAATCAGTGGCAGAGAGACAAACCTGCATGCCCGCCAAGCGCCAGCAGTAGCAGTAGAAGTGGCGGCGACTCCTCCTCCGACAGCACCTGGAAGGTCTGCGCGCTAGTAACTTTATCTTAGTACCCTTCTTCGGAATACACTCATGCATCTCGCAAGCACCAGCGTTTGCCACTACGTATCCGTAAGCCTGTTTTCCTTTTGCCATGAAGCGGCACGCAACTACAGCCGCATTAACGTCACCTTCGGGAACAAGCATTTTGACAACCACCCGAGCCTGTAGCCTTTTATCCAGCACATTCCTTCCAGGACAGGCTCTTCGATGTCATGGGCTTCCAAGAATGTGAGAATGGGGTCCGTGTGCTGGAGCCGGTGCCATGTCTGAAAGCAAAAGCTTGTGCAGATCTGTGCAGAGCTGTGCAGAGCTGTGTCTGGAGCTCAGGTGGGCTTGATGGACAGCTACGAAGTTATACAAGGCTTTGGCCTTATGCTGCACGAGCCTCAGCGTAGGCGAGCAGGTGATGCGGCAACAAGCTGAAGGTATGCATGCCGTGTGCCTCGCCTACCGGAAAGGGGCCTGGAGCCCTCTTGCAAGCGGCAGCGAGGATGTTGGGGAGGACTTCAGCTTCTTCAGATGATCGTTTCACAGATTGTGGGTGCCTTTTTCCTTGTTAACGAACTTGGCTCGTCTCCGCCAGGATATGAAGTCCCACTACTACGGACGCCGCGGAGTGGTCTGGATGCGCCTCGTTCACAACGCCACAGGCAGCCGCTTGCTTGCCTTCTGTTGGAGTCTTACGCCTGAGCATGACTCCACGGTGCATTGATGCGCTCTGCTCTTGTCTTTGCTGGCTCAGGAAAGTTACTTTTCGCCAACCACCACGGGCCGCTGGAGGTGAATTCTGGCGGTGACTGTGGCGGCGACTCCATCGCCAACAACCTGATCGAAGTTCTCCGGAACAGCTCCGAACCAGGCTGGAAAAAGGCTAGGGAGGCACCGTGGCGGTCTCACCAGCGCGTACAGGGGATGCCATCATTTTGGTCGGGGACTTCAACGCGAACTCTGCTTCCCTCACCATCCAGGACACCGTCTGCAGCAATGTGTGCAGTGTCGGGTTCGCTGGTTAGCGGATTCCGAAAAAAATCACTTCTTGGTCCGACTGGAGGCTCCGCTAACTTTCCAAAGCCGGGACCGCGAGTCCCGAAAACAAGACAATCCAGGAATTCTGGACCAACCGATGGCCGAACAGCCTCCTGCTCCTCCACCTCATCGTCACCCAACATCAACTCAAACGATAACCACACTAGACAAGCCGATGCTCGACGTGACATAGAATCCAAGCTGAATCAGACGCTTTGGTCCCGGATGGTGCTGCTCTACGGCGGTGGCTCCTTCGGCGGCGTGGCGCCTCGGTGGCAGCGCCAAGCATCGGGGCTTCAGGGGATTGCGAGGGCGGAGTGCCGAGGACAACATCTTCGGGAACATGGACTCGGACTCCGTCCTGAGCCGCAAGAACCTGGGGAGTGGAGGCGACCTTGGCGCAGTTGAGACTTCTCGAAGGTCGGGAAGGTGGACTGGGTCCGGATCTCTCTAGAAGACAGTGTTCTTCTTCTTGTGCCGAGGCAGTGACCACGATGCCATTTCAGTGACAGTGTCCTTAGGGACACCCCCAGCTCCCCCAGCGCCGGAGGAGCCCAGGCCGGCCACAGACCAGCCGGAGCAAAGCAACCAAACGAACCAGACGGTTCAGGGGAACGAATCGAATGCGACGAATGTATCTCAGCAGCCGAACGAAACAGTGGTAAGCGAGCCGGCCGCGACGAGCTTCAGCGAAATTTCAGAGAGCTTTCTTGGTCCTTGCTGCGCTGTGCTGCGCTGTGCTGCGCTGTGCGGTGCACGTGCGGTGCACTTCGAGGAGCGTGGTCGCGGAGCCGCGACCGGAGGAGAGTGCTGCCCTCCAGGCCAGGCTCTCAGAGGGGCTCTCTTTCGAAGAAAGAGAGACGCGAGAGAGGGCTGTTTTAGGAGGCGCAGAGGAGGAACGGGTTTTGAAGGCCTCTGGAAAACGAGGCGACAGAAGCGCTGAGAGCGAATCTGCCTGGGGACGACTGGCAGCATTTCTGGTGTGGACAGCTGGAGCCAGATGTGGGCTATGCGCCTCCACTCGCTGCACATAGCATGCAGGGTCTGCCGCACAAATGTCTAACAGGCTCCCCTGAGTGGAAGACAGGTACCTCCGCTGGGCAGCTGGTCCTTCGTCATCAGCCACCGACCTCACATACACGACGACTTCGATGTCGCAGCCCCACAGCGGTGCTGCCGCCTTTGCCAGCGGGAGCCCAGGCTGGGTAGTGGAGGCAGAGCGAATTCCACCTTTTTTCGGAAGCTCGTTGCAGGTGTAAGTCGTGGACCTGGAAAGACGGAGGGCCTCGGCGCTGCGAGATGTATGGGGAAGCTACTTGCCAGCAGATTTGCGCAGTTGATCATGGCTGTGAGTGACGCTGCTGTTTACATCAGCAGATGTCATGACGGAAGTCGTTATCGTCACTCTTTGGAATGACACAGGTGCAAACAGTGGAACACATAGGACCAAACTCCGCCAGTAACAGTAATTAGCTGCCGGTACTGGCAACAGCCCTGGCGGTGTTGGTGGTAGTGCTGATGGACAAAACCCTGCGTTGTGCATGATATGACTAAGCCACCTGTCCTGGGCCCTAGTTACTAGTAAGGGGACAGTATCATCAGTTGAAGTGGTGTGGGTGGTGGTGGGGTGTTGGCCGTGGTTGCTATTCCTGGTGCTCGCAGTAGTGCGTACAGGTTGAAATTGAATCGTAGTTGGCGTTGTGATGGCGAAGGGGATGATGTCGATGGCGACCATGATGGTTACTAGTACGCATCATAAATGTCCAGTAGGAACTACAAGGGGACAAAGTCGGACAAAGGAATCCCAGGAAGGCCTGCCAGCAGCTCCATGAGTTCGCCTAGCTAGGCCGCAAGCGAGAAGGAGTCGGTACCCGGCTTCGTCTCGGGGCTACCAGCCCTGGAAGCGGCCAGAGAGGCAGGATTGGGAGCTCTTTTACTTGTTGAGTCTGAAGATAAGTCGGATTGCTTTTTGAGACAGGCCGTCCAGGCAGCAGCAACCGCAATTCGATCCTTGCCACGTCCGTGAGAGCCAACCGGATGTGACCAGACACATGCATAGAGCCAAGGTTGTGATGAAGCACCGAAGCAAGCATTTAGCAAACACACATGGTCTTTTGTTGTTCATCCTCGAGGATGTCTGTAGTCTTCGACGTTTCACCCTGGACGGTGGAAACCATCCACTTCCCCAGTTTTATCATTAGCTCTCACTGTAGGTGAGATATGTTTTGCGCAGTCAGTGATATTGCTCTTGATCGGCTGTACCCTCCAAAGCAGACTCGTGTCTTGCCCTCGTGCTCCTGCTTTCATCAGCTGCGCTGTGTTTTTTGTCGGCAGCTTTTTCATCAGGTTGCGCTTTCCGACTTTGGCACTGCGCTGAGGACTGCACTGACCTGCGGTTGGTGATTGCTTCACGAGGCATGAGCTTTTCCTCCGTAGTCCAACGAATGGTCGTCACAACGACCGCCGACAACACGAGAGCAACTGACCTTCGATGGCGCAAGCTCAGCTCGAAGTATCGACGACGGCGCTTCTATGCGCTTCTTTTCCAGCTGATGCATGTAATGGCACAGGATCGACACTTTGCAACGGATTTGTCGAAACAATCAAGGGCCCGAGCCGGTCACAGGCACTGCCACAGACAACCCAAACAAGGCAAGGCTACGAGAAACATTGCCGACCAAGCTTCGCGGTGAAGGCATGAGACATGCTAGAGACCTGCTTGCAGGAAGTGTCGAAACTGCTATCATATGCTATCATCACATCTCTTCATTCGGCACTCCCTCTAGACTCGAAGCCCTCGGACGCGAGGATTGAGAAAGGTGAGGTGGTCTACAGCCGTGTGGGCACTCCGGCCTTCTGGGCTCCCGAGGCCGCCACGCAAAGCCCCGCAAGTCGCACGGATTTGCACGGTGTACGGCCTCTGTGATGCCTCTGCAGATCTACGCCGGCGGGTATAGCTTGGCCGTGGATGTGTGGGTCCGACCTCAGACGTTTGCAACGACAGTTCAGATCGCGGAGCTTCATCTTTACTCTGATCCTATCGAGCGTAGCAACCTGCTTTGCAGCTGGAGGCCGTAGGTGTGACGACGTTTATTCTTCTGACTGGCGCCAGGGGCCCACGCGGTCAAGCAGCAAGTTTCATGTTCTTTGTTACTAGAAGTTTCGGTGCGAGATCAGATCCGGTGTAGGCCCTCCCCTACGAGGGCGAGGCTGCCATTTGCGCTCGTTCAGGCCACTCACGGTCGCCTGCCAGAAACCGAGGAACTGCGAGAGAGCCATTGCTTCCGATGCAGGGCCAAAGGGCACAACGGACCTTGCCATGCCCTACTACCTCTCGGAGAGTGGCCCATGGCTTGGAAAGTCCCATGAATGTCAAGCTTTCAGCCAGAACCGACAGGGCCATCCGTCGACACCTAGGAGCGGATTTCCTTCGACAGACAATGAAGAAGGACCCCCCCCCCTCTTCCGGTCCCTCCCATCAACAGCCCCCATCACCGGTGCGAAGGAGGCCTCGGAGCGGCCGCCAGCGAGAGAGGCAGGGATGCTCGTCTGCGCGGCTACACGAATAGCAAGAACTGTCAGCATTCCCATTGCGTTTACATGCCTCTCTTTACCTCTTCTTATCTGCTACGATTCCACCATGTCTTGTCTTTTTCTTATTTTGACGATGCCGGATCTGGTCCTGCTGTGTCTTCATTAGTTCCTTGCTGCACTCTGCTATTCTCTTGCCCTGTCTCGTCTGTCGTCTTCGTTCTGTTCTTATTCCTGCTTGTTTGATGGTTCACTTGCTGCATGGCAAGCCTGACAATTCTATAGTAAGTGTAGCGATCGGTTCCTCTATCACTTTACCCTTCCAGGTGCTTGTTTCGTGTCATAAGCGATTTGAACCGGAGAGCAAGATCCCTAAACTTGGCCATGGCTTGGCGACATGAGTTCCGTGGATCCAGGTGGCGCGACATGCGTGGCTGACAACGAAGCAGCCGAAGGATGCGCCGTTGGTCGAAGACGTTCATCCTCCGCAAGAAGAGGCCCCATTAAGTCCTTGGGCTCAGCCTCTCATCTGCCATGCCATCATGATCATCGGGGTTTCTCTGATGGCCCTTTGCTATATCTTTCATCACGATCATCGGCATCATGGCATCAATGACGAGTTCTATGATTATGTTCATTCTCGTCAAGGGAATTTTCATTGTCAGGGTCACTGTCATGATCCGAGTCACAGTTGCGAAGTCTCGAGTCCATCTGCTCGAGCAGTGCCAGGTCCAGATAGCATCGCGCTTCTCCCTCTTGAGCTGCATCTTCTCCGTTATAGGAGGCTTGGCCCCGGTCACAGGGTGCTCGGGCGCGTGCAGTCTTGTGCAGGCCTTGCCGTGTATGGCTGCAGCGCTCTGGGCCACTGCCACAGCCCGAGCTGCCCGGCGAGCTGCCCAGGAGTCGCTTGAGCGCAGCTCCAGCCCTGGCCCTGGCCAGGTATAGGCGTCGAGTCTGCGCGCGACCAGAGCAAGGCTCCCCCATTTCCCCCCCCCCCCCNNCCCCCCCCCCCCCCCCCGTCACACCGGTCTCTGTCCATCGCTTGTCGGGAGCCCATGCTGCTGCAAGGAGGAGGGTGCCCGCTGGCCCAGCAAGACCAGCAAGGTGTGCAAAGAGGGCCACCTGGCCACACTGGGCACTACGGCTCGCCCCCTGGTGTCGCTGCAGGCCAGCACCGCCGGCACCGGCGACTACCTCATGGAAGTTCCAGACAAGGCCCCAACAACGGAAACTGCCACAGCACTGGCATGCACGCCGATCGATGGGCATGTGGACAGAGAAGCTATCGCTTCAAGTGCTACCTCGGATCTTCCATTGATCCAAGCTTGCCCACCACATAGCATGATTGTCTCGTTGGCTCTGCTTGCCTTTGCGTCCTCTGTCCATGCTTGGGGGCTCCCACGCGTGAAGCTGGGAGCCGCCGAATGATCCGGACAGGACATCCTCGAGAAGCAAGCTACGGATCTGACAAAGCAGATATCCGTGAACCTCACCATGCACCAGGCCAGTCAGGGTGGGAGGGTGGGGCGCAAGACAGCAATGCTCTTGCGCGCCAGGTCTCTCTGTCGTCGATAAAGCAGTAGGGCGCCACCAGTGCGCTTCTATCACATGCCAGCTGCCAAAGGTGTTTGCCATATGTTGCGGCTAGCACAACTGTGCCGTTGGGATTGGCTAGACCATGATGTCCCTGAAGTAGTATAGCTGCTGGTTTCTGCTTCTTCGATCCCAACTGCAGCAGTTGAGACCAGCCATTTTCCACCTGCAGGGATTCGCTTGGAAGATCCTGATGTGCGGGTACTGCAGATTGCTCTGACTTGAGGTCCGCCAAAGCTCCCATGCAACACCAATGTTTGCAGAATAAGACGAGCAAGCTGCAGGCTTTTGCTGTGGGAATGCCGGATCGCACTGGAGCGGTGGCATTCCTGTAAGTGTGTCTCGATTCAGGGTGTAGCCATCCGGCCAAAGAGCACTCTCGTAGGCATTTGCAGGAAGGCCTCTTGACCTGTGCAGGTTCTTTCGGAGAAGATCTGGCTCACCAAAAGATACCAAAAGGCAATAAGGTTCCCAAAGGCGGCAGGCAACAAGCACTTCCACGCCAGGTCTCACCCCCTAGCATCCAAAGCCGCATTGTGTCCTCAGTGCGCGGGCAGAGTGCGACCGCAAAAGAGATGCCAGTGGCCGAGCCATTCGCTGTAGCTGCTTCTCTTTTACTTTCGGTTGCCCTTTGAGCAACTTGCAAACGCGTGAGCATTGAGCATTGTTCAGTGAATGATGGACCTGCTAACTGCAGCCACACAAGACAGCCTCCCATCACGAGGGCAGTAGCAAACATGCGAAAGTGTTCATCAGTACATCGCAGGCCGATCCTTCCTCGCAAGCTCAGGACCGATCAGCACTTCGAAAAACTTAGAAAAGCCTCAGAGCTTTGGACGCTTTTGTACCGTGTGTACGGCACAAGGGATGCCGAGGCCTCCAGCTGTAGATATGGTGTGGTCCATGATTTTTTGCGTCGGGTTTGGGTATTTTAGGGTAGTCTACAAGGCTTTTTTTTTGCGAGTTGCCAATGGCTGACCATAGATTTTGAGGTCCATGTCGTCGCAAATGTCTCGCAGACCCTCCAGCAGCAGGAGGTGTCTTGGAGGCCTTGCTTCGCATGTGCCGGTTTACGCGCGTCGCCGCAGAGACGTAAATCTACGCGGATCACCTTCCCCAAAGAGAAAGCAAACGACTTGAGGCCAGACATGATCAAGCAAATCCGACTACGCGACAAAAGGCAAGCAGAGAGAGACCAACAAACAAACGATCAAGCTAATATCAACAGCGAGCGATCGCCCGAACTCGTAAGGACAGAAACAACCAGCCAAACACAGATAATGACAATTGCATGAAGGTGTTCATGCACGCATTCATGCGTAGCTACGAGCATGCAACCTGTCTACTCTGCCTATCTACCAACCGAACCTAACCTAACCATTTTGAGGTGGTTATGTCAAGAGACCACGTGCTTGAAGAAGGTCCAGGCGCCAACACCAGTAACTGAAGCCACACATGGGCGCAGGAGCGATGCTGTCCGCTTTGGCCTTCGCGTCCGGGATGGTTTTCTTGGCTCCGCAGAGAAGCGGACGCACCCTGCGGGTGCAGCGAGCTGCAACTGCCGATGCGGTCCAGGTGCCAGCGATGTGCTAAGAGAGCACACTTGTGCCACTCCAGAGCAGGTCAAGGGCGAACTCTCTCCCCTGTTTGACTATGTCTTGATCAAGGCGAAGGTGTGCAGCCACTGTCCCAGACCGTTGGGTAAGATCTGCAGAGGCCTCGTGAGTTTGCACACCTTGCCAGGAAGCCGTGACCAGCACAAAATCCGGGCTTTTGCTGCCGACCTCCTCGGAGACTGGGGCGTCGGGAGGGGGGGGGCGCGGGGTGTTGGACATGACAGTTCCTTTTGAGCCTGAGGCTCATGTCGTGCTGTCTCTCCGTGCATAGCTGTGTACTTTTGCGATGCATGTAGGCAGTCTTCTGTAGAGATTTCGCAATGCCACTGCAGAGCATGTCAGAGGTACAAGCCTATCATCACCGGGATAGCTATGAAGTTCTGGTACACTACAGCGCGCCTTTTGCACGCACGCACGCACGCACACACACACACACACACACACACGCTGCAGTTGTGTCATGTTGCAGATCTTGCGGAGATCTCGTTAGCAACGAGGAGAAGCCCAGCGAAGGCGAGGTGGTGGCAGTCGGCCCGGGTGCCGTGCAGGACACTGCAGCACGGCGCGCTAGTGTTTTGAAATCATCTCACTCCCGTGTGACTAGTGCGACCTAAACAGCCTCAAGCAGAGTAGATAGATTCAGTTAGATGCAGTTGAAGTTACGACAGTCTCAGAAAGGTGCAAATCCACATCATCTGATACTTCATGATGGCATGTGTTCGTGGGTTCGTGCAGTCCGGTCATCTCGCTTCCTCCGGTCACTCTGTGTATGTATGTGTATCTATGTATGTACATATATATATATAATATATATATATATAATATATATATATATAAAGGACACATTCTGCAGTATTTTGTGCCACATCTTATCACCAGAGTGTTGTATATTCTAAGTTCTATGCCGCAAAGCAACGGTGATCTTTTGGGGCACTTGTTGTTCAACAAGTTGTGCCATGTTGAAGACACGACGTGTTAATGTGACTATGTTGAGGATGATATTGTGTAGATCTGGCTCCCGAGGTTTTTCCAAATTCATGGAAATTGTAGTGGTAAAACCAACAATTTTCATGACTTATCTGTGGGGAGTCATGGAAATGCTTGGTTTTACCACCATCTCCGGCAATTTCCATGATTCCCGAAACTATGGCTCCGGCTCCCGAGGTTTCTGCAAATTCATTGAAATTGTTGGAAATGTTGGTAAGACCAACATTTTCCATGATTTGTCTGCGGGGAAGTCGTGAAAAGTGTTGGTTTTAAGAACATTCCCAACCATTTCCATGATTTTCGAAGCTATGGCTCAGGCTCCCGAAGTTTCTCCAACTTCATGGGAATGGTTGAAAATGTTGGTTTCGCAAACATTGTCCACAGGTACATATTTCAACACGGTGTTGCCGAATTTGCGGTTGGCAGATCTTATGTATTCATGCGAGGTGTTCTGCAAACAGGCCCGGTAAGGTGTTCGCATCCTCGGTTAAAACAAGTATATAGTTTGTTCAACGCGAAACTAGGCAATAATCTCTGCTTGAAGACGGTACTGTGGGAACACCATTGCCTTGCTTTTTCTGTTTATCACGTACAGAGCTATACTTCATGTCTACGATTCAAAAATTACTGTGGGAAACTATTGCTGAACGAACATGCTTATGATGGTTAAATCACACACTTCTTAAGATAAACGTATAACGTATTTACTCATGCTGCTTGGTGTTTGCATGGGGGCTTTAGTCGTTGTGTTTATGTATTGTTGGTAGCAAACTTGACTAATAAACAACAACATACAACGTAGAGTGTAACACGCAGCCATGGCATGTTGGATTATGTTTGACGTGGAACACTAGCAATCCACTCTCAGCAGGTTACTGTAAAACCAAGCAGATGTGTCACTTGATTAACCAACCTCCTACCAAGAAGTTTTACGGGCACAGGTGTGCGTATTCATGTGGTACTGACTGGTAGGTTTATGGACTCAGCAAGTACTACGTTTTCTTTATAATGCTGCTTATTATTAAACAAGGTTCCTGAACAATATACAATCTATTCTGAATGAACGAACACGGCAGTAGTTGACACAGTCAAACTTGTTTCAGAAATTATAAGAAACTGCGATGTACACAGTGTTAATTGGGTTAGTATGGAAGAAGTATAACAACCACAGTAACAGGAACCATAGTAATGGTAAAAAGATGTGATATCTACACTGCTAGACGTAATGCTAAAGCCACGCTTTTATCTCGAATTCATTATGGAGCATTTTCATGACTGAGAAAGAAACGGAGATCGGATTCCTACAGTGGTGCAAAGACTAGCGATTTTGACAGGTATAATGACACTATCTGACAGCTTATGCCGTATATGATTGTGTGAAGCAATGAACACGGTAATTCATGTAACAGATTGCAAAACCCACCAACAACAATGACATCCTTGCGGATAAACAAGCGGAAGTTCAGTGAACGTGTGTGCAAAAACCGATACCGACAGCCAACTTAACATGGCCTCTATCCACCTTGGTACGAAATCTGCGCGGGTGGCCACGGGGATGCTACAGGTTGATCATCCCATGCCGTGCAAAGATCTTTGTCTTAGGGTGCTTCAGTAGGCTTGCTTGGCCATACCCCCGCAGTTTGGTCACACGCGCTCACCACTGTGTGTCGGCTTCTCGCGACCATGCGCATAAACTCGCAGTCTTTTCTGTCTGATTGAAACATATGGGTTGCTGTTGACAAAACATCCATAATTCATGGTTGCTTCATGTTTGAGAAATCGTCGGCCCACTTAAGCAAAGCAGTACGCAGCATAAAGGCGAAAACCTGGGTACTGGAAGAGGGGGTAGCAAACTATATATATATATATACATACATATATATATATGTATTACATAATATTATATATATATATATTGATTGATATTGATTGTTTACATATACACATACAGGCATTGTCTTTTTGAATTGAGTTCATCTTCCAGCCTTTGGACAACCTTACATGTCAACACAACTGCTATTCCACATCCGAAGCCGAAAGTAAAGGCCGCTCAGCAGGGAAATGCGTGCCGCGGCCGATCCGCCAGCGGACGGAACAATGCTCATCCCTGGGCCCGAGCTTCAGGGGACGTCGCAGCAGCCAAGCCTGCCAGAAAGCCGAAAGCGTGTCCTTGTCAGAAGAGGCGACCCAACTTCGTAGCCTCCTTTAGCACGCTGGCCTTGGCCACAGGTTCCCAGCAATGCCTGGCTGTCTGGCTGCAGGCGTGTCAACCTCGACAGTGCGTGTGCTGCAGCAGATTTCCAATCCCCCCTCAGCATGCCGCTTCTGGAGTCTACATCCACTCCTTAGTTGTTTCTACGTCCCATTGCCAGAGTACAAACTGCAGCCATAAGCTGCGATCACTCTGCGCAAGGCTTAAATTCCAGCATAGCCGTAGGAATTGAGACAGGCCCGAATCGTGCCATCCTGGTCATCCATTTGCTCGTCATTGAGTGCGTAAAGGATGTGCCAGTTCCTTTTGCGGAGCACCTGCTGCAGCTGGGCATTCGTGTAATGTCTCGGTGGAGGCGGCGCTTGGTGGAAGACAGGGAAGAGCCACAGACTGGTAAAGTGGTATTCTAAGCCGCAAGGCCTACGCCCCAGGTCGAAGTACCCGTGGTGCTGGCAATCCGAATCGCTCCGCCATGGCTGCAGGATCGCCGCAAGCCGCCTATGAAAGCAGTAGTACCCCAAACGGAACAGCCTCATGGGAAAGTGCATACCAACTGCCTTAGGAGCCCGCACCCACCTAGAGCACGCAAACCTAAGGTCAAATTCCTCCAGAGGTGCCTCGTGCGCATATTCGCGAGAGGGCCCTGCTAAGCACTGGGGCAGTCTGCAAACGAGGATTGGCCGTGAATCTCAGTCCCAGACACCATCCTCCGAAAGCGCTATGTAAACCCGCACCGTGCCCCGGTAGTTGGGCGGGTGCGAAAAGACTTCCGGGGCAATCTCCTGCTGACTCGGCAAGATTCCTACAATTCCTCTCGTCAGTCACCGCCGTGGTCAACCAGGGATGGACCCCGCAGCTAATCGCCCGCATCCACATTGAGTCTGAGCTGAGTGCCCAAGGCCGCATCCTCTGCCGGGGTTGTTTCAGATTCTGCTGAGTGCTCAGACGACCTTTGCCCTGGCTTCCATTGCAGTCTTTCCCCTCGCGGCGCAAATCTGATCGGATACTGAGCGCGATGGGCGCTTCGGTTTGCACCGGGCATCGAAGTAGATGCGACGTGCAAGCGTGGCGTCGAGTCTGGGGCCCGTGGCCAGAGTGTTCGAGTGGCCTAGTCATCAGGCATGAGCCTGGCGAAGTGCGGGAGCATCATCCGCCGCCTTGAGCATCGTTCATACTATGTCCCTGCTAGAGCGCTTGAAGCGCATCGAGCGCGTCGAAACACCAAGCCCAAATTCGTTGTGCCCACGCGGTGCCGTTGTTGGAATAACTGCGCTAGCCGGGTAATGTCAATGTCATTGGACATTTAAAGCGTTTTGAAAACAACACGGAAGTCAGAATGATAACCTTTCCAAGGGACCTGCCTCTTCTATAAACACAGCCAGCTTGTCGGAATAGCGTGATTTCAAGAGAGAATGCGCACCTGGCCATCGTTGGAGCTGCTCTGGGCAGCAGAAACAGTAAAAACACAAAAGCAAGTAATTCCTGCAGTAAGTCCCCTGTGTGTGTATATATATATACACACACATGTATATATATCTATATATATATATACATATATATATATATGCATGTGCATGCACATCGTATATGTACACACACACACCTTCTACAGTGTTTTGTACGACATCTCATCAACAGGTGTTGTTTGTGTTGCTACAATGACGCAGCTTATATTTTTCTATTTCTATTTCTACTCCTATTTGTACTCATATTCACATTCTTATCAACATCTGTATATATACATACATATATATATATATATCTGTATATTCTTAATGGGTGCCTTTTCCGGTGCAAAATTTAATATTTGTTGAGTATACGGCTACATGTTGCAGTATACGCCATCGTATCACACTGCTACGTACACAAACAAAAAAGGTCACCCCACCGTTTAAAGCACCGCTCCCACATAACGTAGCTAGACATTTATGATACGAAATGCAAGTTTCAAAGCGTGATTTACGTGCGTTTCAGTGAAGAAGATTTTTCCAAGAGTTCGAAAAAGCCGGCGATTACTTTCAGCTTCGATGCCGCTAGATGCATCGTATCTTCGGCGTGGTCCGTCGCCGGGGCATCGCTGATTGCCTGGCTGGCTGGCTGGCTGGCTGGCTGGCTGGCTGGCTGACCGCCCGACCAACCAACCGACCGACCCACCAAATTGCATGAACATCAGGACTCAGAAAGTTCAGCATGACGGACTCCGCAAGCTCAACAGCATCTTACCGAGCCGAGCCGGCAGGAATACACAGCAACACCGTGAATGCTGACTCTTGATTTACGGAAACCCTGCTAGTTTCGGTTGCAGGAAACAGGGGTGCAGGTGCCCGTCTGGGCGCAGGTGAGGATCTCAGTGCTTCTGCGATCTCCATGGTTGCGGCGTCGCATGGGTAAACCAGGTCGGCATGAAGGTGCTCCATGGCAAGTACGGCGTGGAAGAGGCTCCATCGTTTGACTCGAAGTTGCTCGCTTGTGTAATGCTGATGCAGGTAAAGTATAACGAAGAGGATCACGTCCTTGCGTGACGCTGAGTTTCAGAGTTGAAGTGTAAGGCACAAATGACCAGGCTGGTCCCATGGGTGGAGATTGCTCAAAGAGCGATTTGAAAACTGCCCCGACCCACCCAGTCGGGCCAGGTCAGGGACGACGATGTCCTTCTGAGCTATTCGGGCGACGAGGACTCAAAAGCGGCATGCATGTCAAGTGAGTCAATGGCACATGTTGTGCCAGCCCACCCTGGAGAGCATCCAGATGCCGAGGGGAAAGGCAGGAGCACAGCAAGCAAGGGAGTCAGCAAAGCCGGAGGCAGTCAGCATTCGCCACCTTGAAGGTGCTGCTGAAGCTGCTGGACGAGAAGGAAGAATCACAAGGTGGTATTCTGCTGTCAAAGGCCCTCCGCATTGAAGATAAATGGCCTCGCTGCGGTTGCCAGTGCGTAGCATGACAACGATCCAGTTTGTGGCTGTCGTAAAGATGTTGCCTTGCGAGAGGGTGCTGCGAAACCCGATACGACGATCGGTGAGGCGGGTACACGACCTGTGGGGATAGACTCTTGCAAGCTCAGCCGTTTAGCACCTTGTGCTGAAGATTCAATATGTTTTCAGACTTACTGGTATTTCTCGATCATCCGCTTCCTCTGGTAACGCACCACGGCAGGCCTCAGAGGTTGAGAAGCACCGAAACTGCCCGAGAGGTCGTTGCTGTCGGTGAGGATGCTCTCGACCGCTTTGGCAAGCCCATCACCACGGAGCCGAGTTCAGGGCCGGCTTTGATCTCTTATATATATATATAAATATAAATATAAATAAATAAATATATATATATATATATATATATATTATATTCTATATATTATATAGCATGGTCGCGACCTTCTGTTTGTTCCGGTTTTCTGAAAGCCAGCGACAGTGCACTTTTGGCAGCCAGAAGCCTCTTGTTGTCTGCAGGACCTCGCTGTCGGAGACACTGTTCGTTTCCGTTTTGGCAACGAGGCCCTCAAGCCTACCGCTTGCTCACAACCACCATGGCAACGACTAAATTCACAGTGCTGGTTCTGCTGCCCTACCCTTGTCCATCTTTCTCATTGCTCTCCGACTTTCCCGCTCGGAAGCGACAGGTCAAGCTCGACCTTGGGAAATCCGAGTTCCGCTCCGTGGATGTCTCCGAGTGCCCGGGCCCCTGCGACCAGAACGCCATACATATTTGTCCGCGAATCCGCGTTTGATAGGAAGCTCGTTGAAACTTCAAGCCGCGAAGTTACAGAGGTGGTGTTAGGCAGCCATGTCTGTTTTGTCGCCGCAGGCCTGGCGAAGTGGAAGTCCTAACCATCACCCAGTCCTGGGGCCCACAGGCCAATTTTGATGTCGCCTGGCCTCTTTCTGCATGCATGCTGGCAATGCTGGCATCTACTCGGCCAGCTCATGCCTTCCCCACTTTAGAGCATCGGCGACGATGGCTGCACTCGTCAGCGGGGAAGGTGCAGCGAGTAGGTTTTGGACGCTCCAACTGCGTGAGAGTCGAATTTTTGCAGAGTCCAAGGGAGAAGGCCAAGAGTTTTCAGTGAATAGAAGAGAAGTGGAGGCGTTTCGGCCCAGATTGTTTTGCAAGCTTGCAGGTCGCTGACCACACCGCTTAAGGCGAGAGGTCAGGTAGAGTAGTTTTCGTGCGTTTTGCTTCGAAGCCATGTCAGCAGATCAGGGAGCGATGCAGCAGTTTCAGGATATGCGTAGTCGTTTCAGGCAGCCTGACTACACCGCAGTTCAGCAGGAGTACTGGGAGCAACAGAGGCGCAACAAGAGGTCGGCCCCGACGCCTTTGCAGTCGGGCCTGACCACACCGCAAGAAGGAGCCCAAGCCTCCCAACCGGAGCCACCGCAAGGGGCAACGGAGGATGGGCCATCCCTTTTGCAGCCTTTTTCCTTTGAGGACAGTACAGCAGTGGGCCTTACAGCAGCTACGCATGGAGTGGATATTAACGACCAAACCGCCATCAAGAACTGGCTTGCCAAACCTGTCCAGAACAACCAGCAGGTGTTTGAAATGGTGAGGTCGTACCATCGTGCAGTTATTCGTCCCGAGATGTACAACTTGGTTCTGCAGCTGGAGGCGGCTTTGAAAACAGTGGATGAGTCCGTTTTCAAGGCCAGACAGGAACTGCAGTGGCTTTCGGCGGACAACCGCCTTGCCCAGAAGCACCAAGCAGGGCTACAGGTTTTGACTTCGGGATGGCCAAACTATATGAAGCCAGACCAGCGTATTTT